AGCATGAATATTGGGTTCGAAAAAACACTTACCAGTTATACTACGTTAGATTATTGCCTTTTATACAGAAAAAAATATTTGTTTGAGAAATGGAAGCGAGTAGACGAGACTTGCGTGCATTACTATCAAAAAAAAAAGCAAAGTAAAAAGGATAACACAATGCAAAAAGTGAATTACCTCTTCATTACTACAAACATAGTCCTAGGTTCGTTGATGATCATCTCGTAGAATGGTGCGTTCGGTAATGCATCAGGGTAGGCGAGTTTGGCGTCTTCCAAGATAGGCATGCGATCAACAAATGCTGTCAGCACTCGCACAATATTTGGGTGAAAATCAGGTAACGGTCGAAAACTGAAAAAAAGTGCGAAGTCAACGAATTCACCATAAAAAAGAGGTAAATCGGTGTTCTTTCTGCTAGATGATGATACTTTTCGAACAGAAAATGGAGAAATCGATATGGCGTTTCACTACGAATATTTACATCATAGATAATCGTCCAAAATCGAAGTAAGAGGTTCATAGCATTACCTGCCCATCCTTCCGTTAAGAAGTTGTGCGCTTCCAGGAAGTGGTACTAGCTCAGCACCCATAGATCGCCATAAGTAGTTATCTCCCAAACGAGGACACATATCCAAAGCGAAATTGTACATCAGCTTCAGGGCGAGTGGATATTTCTGAAACCGCATAAACATTGCAGAAAAGGAACATTACGAGACGTAAATAAAAATTAGAAAATTATCAAAGTACATTTTGTAGATCACGCCTCGCTTTTCGTAAAGGATTTGTAGACAGGCTTGGGCGGGATTTACCAGTTTGTTGAACCTCGCGAACCTTTAACGCATAAACAGCTGCATTACACCCATAACCGATATTCTGTCCTGCAAGACGTTAATCTTGACATTGATTTAAAGAATATGAGTGCCCACCTATTTCATATTCGTCAATAGTATTTGGGTAAACCCCTCTAGCTAAGTCAGCATTATAACGGATACTTGTAGAAAACACATCCTGAAATGAGTCCTACTATTACAACAAAACAAGCTAGATATGCTTCTTGACATCAACTCCTTACATGTTCTGTAACAAATTACGAAAAAATAAAAAACAAAAACAGAAAGGGATAAAGAAGAGGAGAGGAGAGGTGAACTAAACACACTTTGAAATCTATTTTTCTGTGTTCCATGCTACCTGTTTCTTCTCAGCAATAAAAAACTAAGGATTTCGGCAATGGTTCAATTTTGCTGTGATTCATCGTTAAGCTGGATAAGTCGCAACCCGAACAAGGGGTGAGCCTCTTTCTGTCCAGATTCAGTTTTTTTGAAACTGAATCTGGACAGAAAGAGGCTCACCTTTTTTGAAACTTGATTGAAATCTTTCTAAAAAGACACAAGACGCAGTCAAGATTTTTGAATCGCATTATGACAATGATGTAGGGTTGGAAACTAATATCCAAATCTCAATTTGCAAGCATTGCCGCAAGACACTTTTTTCCGAGAATGTTCACAGCCGCTTTTCTAGCCCTGAAACATAAATATATTTCTTCACGCACTCTCATGCGGTTCCAGAAAAAAATGCCTGCTAAGCAGCAGTTGCAAATCGACAGATTTGACGATTCTCTCGTTGCAAAAAAGATAGCAGAGCAAATAATCAATTACGGGAATTCAGATGAATAATGATGAGTGTGTAGCTAGAATGTACGAACGAAAAAATTCTTAGACCTTAATAAGCCT